CAGTTACTTTGTGGGCTCAGGCAATTTCTGCACACTGTTATCAGACCAAGGTACAAGGCTCAGTGATTGAACATACCCTGAATTTTAACGTAGCTTATCTCTTTCTCTGTCTCTCTGTGTAGTTTTGCTTATTTTTGAGATTTATGAAAAAAGAATCATACTTTATGTTGTCTTCTTGATCTTGCTTTTCTTCACTCAATAGGTTTTTAGCATATTCAGCTGTTTTGTTGGTTACAGGTAAAAATCAATCTATTTTTACTGCTGATGCTATTCCACAATTCAGTAATCTATTTCCCTATTACTGAAGGACATTTGGGTTGTTTTAGGTTGGTATGTCCACTTTTTTTTAATTATTATTATTTTTTTATTGTACTTTAGATGAAAGTTTACAGAACAAATAGTTTCTCATTAAACAGTCAGTACACATATTGTTTTATGACATTGGTTAACAACCCCACAACATGTCAACACTCTCCCTTCTCAACCTTGGAGGACCTTTTTTTTTTTTGGTGAAAATATACATAGCCAAAGTTACCACATTTCAAAAGTTTTTACGTGTACAATTCAGTGACATCGATTACATTCTTCCAGTTGTGCGCTATTCCCACTATCCTTTTCCAGATTATTCCATCACCATTATCTTCAACTCACTGCCCCCTAGGCTTCCCATCAAACCTTTTGAGTGTCCGTGTCCACTTTTAGTTTTGACAGGTATACTCAAGTTGTCCTCCTTTGAGAGTCATCCAATCATCAGTAAATGAGAATTCCTAGTAGCTTTTTTATTTATTTATTTTTGGTACATTAGGTGAAAGTTTACAGAGCAAATTGGTTTCCCATTAGATAGTTTGTACAAAAAGTATTTCTTGACTTTGCTTTCATTCCCCACAATGTGTCAGCACTCTCCCCATTTCCAGTATGGGTTCCCTGTTTCCTTTAGTCTTGATTTTCTACCCCTTCCTGCCTTCTTATCTTTGCTTTTAGGCAGATATTACCCTTTTGATCTCCTATAATTAATTGTGCTAAGAAATATATTCCTCTCAGATGTTATTGTTTATTTTATGGGCTTGTCTATTATTTGGCTGGGAGGTGGTCTCCGGGAATGGCTTTAGTTCCAGGTCAAAAGGGTGTTTTGGGGCCACAGTGTCTGTGAGAGCAGTAAGTAAGATTTGATCTTTTGTTCTACAATTTTTCTCCCACTCTTTCTGGGAGCCTCTGTTGTGATCTCAGTCAGAGCAGTCCTAGCAGCTTTTTGACTGAGTTTGGTTGGCACTTCTGAAGCAATATTCTAGATCTTCAAAGTAGTTTCACAGACTCCTTCTGGGCATTATTAAAGAGAAGGGGAAAGAAATTTCTGCCCCAGGGAGGCCTCACTGGGTGCAGTGACTAGACCAAGACCACCTCCCATTGGTCAGGGGCAAGCTGAGAGTTTCGTAGATATCTATCTGAGTCATTTGTTTTATTCTCTTAACGTGGCAAGATCTCTACAGCATGATCTTTCACATTGGCTGGTTTTCTGAATTTGTTAGAAGGACAAATGAAAAGAGAGCTCTCTTTGAAAGAATTTATTATGATACAAGGAAAAACGAAAGTCAAATTGCCATTGCAGTACGAAGCAAGGGGGTCAGGTTCTACGAAAAAATCCTTCCTGGGGTCAGAAATGAGGTCACTCAGGGAGTCTGGGATAGCTTTTTCCTGGCTTTGGACAGGAAGAGAATTTCACACAGGAAGAGAGGAGGGAGACAAGACAGGAGTGCAGATTTGTTTTTCACGTTCCTTGAAAGGACACTGATTCTCAGAATCCAGGTGCTCTCTGGGTAGGGAATTGCCAGAATTAGTTTTTCCTGGGAGGATCCTTGTCCTCGCGGTCAACCCATGCTGGAAAATCCCCAGCTACTGTTGGTGGCTTCTCTGTTGTGAGCCCAGTGTCTGGTCAATCAGGGACAGCATGATGCTGATGAGTTTCAGATGGAGATTTCTATTCCTGATTTGTAAAGCTTGTAAGTGGGAAAGAAGCTCACTTTAACTGACAAGACGGGATGACTGACCAACATCTAAGACTCTGCCTGGGAGTGGAGACCTCAGGGATTTAGTTTTGGCTTTGCCCCAAATGTCGAGGAGGTCCAGGGGAAGCCTATGGGGCTTAGTGATGATGGGAGTTAGTGTGATCAGATGATCAGGCACCCTTGAAATTTCACAGTTCTGGGAGAAGAGTTCTTGCTGACCTTTCCACCTGGCTTTAAGCTTCCTTCAGGCTCCGACTCGTACTCTTGTGCTCGCTGCTCACCTGTGCCAAGTGTGGAAGAGTGGTGGTGATCCAGGCAGATCCTGCCATTCAGGGATATGCCTGTCTACTTCTAGACTTTAAACCTCTTCTTGTTTTCATGCATTCCAAGACTCCCTGCAGTTCCCTGACTATGCTTTTCTTTGTCTCTCTATATTCCTTCCCCCAATGTGCACATTTACTGTAACAAAAGGTATGCTTGTGCATGCATTTTCTCTTTCATAACAAGACGTGGACTGTAAATATAGGTTTGCATTTCAACCCTTGCTTACCAGCTGCTACTAATATGACTGTGGTGAGTTAGCTTTTTGCTGATGTCAGCAAGCATACTGATAATTATCTGGCTAGACTACTGACACAATCAATAAGGTAACATTTAATAATATCTTGGGTTGTTGTGGAGCCGTGGTGGTGCAGTGGTTAAGCACTCAGCTGCTAACCAAAAGATTGGTGGTTTGAACCCACAAGCCGCTCTGCGGGAGAAAGATATGGCAGTCTGCTTCTGTAAAGATTTACAGCCTTGGAAGCCCCATAGGGCAGTTCTACTCTGTCCTGTAGGGTTGCTATGAGTTGGAATCAACTGGACAGCAATGGGTTTGGTTTGGGTTTTGGGTTGTGGTTGTTGTGTGACCTCAAGTTGATTCCAACTCTTAGTGACCTTATATGACAGAGTAGAACTGCCCCATAGGGAAAGCAGATTGTCAGGTCTTTTCTCCTGTGAAACTGCTGGTATGTTAGAACCCCCGACCTTTCAGTTAGCAGCCAAGTGCTTAACCATTATGCCATGAGAGCTCCTTAATATCTTGGTAGTCCCTGAAATATATTTAGTACTCACTAAATATTAGTTTCCCTTTTTTGTTATTCCTTTAATTATTCAATGATTTATTAATTCATTCATGCATTTAGTACATATTAAGTGGTTCAAACCCACCCAGTTGCTCCACAGGAGACAGACCTGGCAATCTACTCCCATAAAGATTGCAGCCTAGAAAATGCTATGGGGTACTTCTACACTGTCACATGGGGTCACAGTGAGTCAGAGTTGCCTAGATGGCACCTAACAACAATAACATTTACTATGCTAGACATGATGTGGGGCAGTGTTGAGGATACACGTTAATTGAGACATAATCCTGACCCACAAGATTCGTACTGTTTACTGGGGGCGACAGACAAGAAGACGATCCTACTACTGGAGAAGTGTGTTCTGAGAGGCTTGCAAAGGGAGAATGGAGGACAGGAGATGGGCACATAATCTAGAATACGGAGGAAGGGAGTCAGAAAATGCTTCCTGGAGGAGATGCTGCTTATACTGTGCATTCTTATAAATTCATGGTGTTGGGAGTAGAGTTGGAGGAAAGCCCTGCCAAACAGAGGGAATGGTATGCTCAAAGGCCTGGAGGTGACAGAGAGGCTTGTGCTTTCAAGGGTATGCAGGGAATTCAGGGAACAGTGCACAGAAGCTGTTAGACCTACAGGTCTGCAGCTCTGGTCTGGGCTGTGGGTATGGACCTGGGGGGCATCAGCAGGCAAATGTAATTTCCAGGAAATGTCATTACTGAGCTCCTCCTGCTGGCGTTCTGGTCAAGTTTCCTTGCTGTTCCTGACAGTGCAGACATTGACACCAAGATGCAGACATAGGCTACTGAGGAGAGAAGGGCAAAGACAGGAAGCACATGAGGAGAGAATGGTTTAATTTTAATTAGCTTTTAACTACCTACTCTCCTTCTTGCCTTTCCAGAAATGACATGAAGGTAATGGATGCAAATAAAGTCTGAAAAGAGAAAGGGAGTTCACATAAGTCTGGGCTTGTATAGCTTTTCCTTTCCCTCTTTCAAGGCCCTTCCCCTATCCCTACCTTGCTGCAGACTTTCTCTTTCCCTGTCACCCTCAACCTGACCTGACATTTTCTGCCTAGCCACTGGTGATGTTTCAGAATCTCAGAATCCTATTGGACAATGGATGCAGGGCAGCTGTTCTCTGCTGTGCTGCTGTCAAAGGCATAACTCATAAGTCTTGGCTTCTAAACACACTTGGGACAACAGGAACTGCGTGAGATACCTGAAAGGAGAATAGCAAGGGCCAATAGTTTCTGTCTATTCCATCAGGCAGGTTTCCCCCTTTACATTCATCCTCTGTGCTTAAAAAAGTATGTTTACTCCACAAAATACATTTAAATAATAATTTGTTTTTCCAATCTTATTAACTGATTATATAACAAGCACTTAAAAGAACATGATTTGTATTATGATTTTTGAAATACTGGAAGGAGCTCCTGGATCTCATTACTCTACATGGACACCTCTATAAACCCAAGTTCTCCAGGATGGAAACCCTAGAATAAAACGGGATAATTTGAGATCTATTAGTGAGTGAAGGTACAATAAATGGCCACTGAAAACATAGCAAATAAAGATGATAACCTGGCATTGTTACAGACTTTTACTTTGGAAAAAAAACTGAAATGCTTTCTATAAATACTTACAAAAAAATTGGTTCTATGGCAATGCCTTGAGAGTTTGGGAGAGAGCAGCGATTAATTTGGAATGCTAGGAGAATCACAGTGGTGGAGTAAATTCCCTGAGAGCACAGAGCTAATGCATTTCCTTTTTGTCTCAATCCAAATGTCAAGAACAAGGGAGTGAGCAGCACATTTAGATATTCTCTGAGATCACAGCAGTGTGGAGAGTCCTGGGGAAAGGTGGGGAAATACAGGCACTGTGGTGTGAGAGTGAATGTGGATGATTGTGTTGGCTTGTGATTGGTGTGTGAGTCAGCATTTGATTTTTGGCTTTGGGTTGTTTTCAAGTAGTGGTCTTGGTTTGCAGATTCTGAGACAGGGCAGGAAGCATGCTGGAGAGCTCAAGACCCAGTATTCCAAAGTTCTTTGTAAAGGACATTTTATAAACAAAGTTTTCTGAGCCTGGAAGACACTTAAGAATCATCTCCAATCGTCTTGTCTTACGGACCAGGAAGCCAGTATCTAAGGAGATGAACAGACTTGGCCAAGATAATATACCAAGAGGAACCCCTGGGACTTGAACTCATATCTCTTCTCAGTCGAGGGTTACTTGTCTTATGCCCTCTCAAAAAATGTCTCACATTGTGCCAGCCCACTGTGAATAGGCTGCCAACAAGTCACACTACTCCATACCAACCCTGACTGTCTTCTCATAGTTGCCCTTGCTCTCAGGAAGGGCCCTGACTCTGACTGGTGGAGGACTCATAAAAACATCTGGGGAGGATCACCAAGCATAAAAGATCTTCATGCCAGTGAGGGCTCAGGGCTGAGGGTCAGACAGTAACAAATCAGGATTGGGAGTGGGGATGTAGGAGTGTTAATCAGGGAAAAATCAGGGCCAGAAAGGACCATCCCAAGTTTTCAATGAGGAACGCAAATAGATTGGCTGAGGGGAGAAGTGCCTGATCAGAAAGTATTCTTTGTTTATTAACTAACGTCACTCCAGCAAAAGTGAAAGAAGATTTCTGAGAACTTGCAAGAACAAAGGGCACAGGAAAGCTGTCTGGGCAGGGGATTTCTGACTCCATTGCTTGCATATAAGCTGGTCTTGAGGTCTCTTCTCTCAGTTACCTGTTTCTGCTCTCTTGAATGCAGTGATGGCTCCCAATGCGCCCTGCCTCTGTGTAAGTTGGGATTTGATAAAGGGAACGGGGAAAGGAAAAGCATTTCCAAGAGCTGGGGAGAGACCTCAGGAACCGGATGAGGGGTGGTGCTTGGGAAGGCAGGGTGGCTGGGAAGGCATCTTGAAGGAAAGAGGATAGGAGTTGATATCTGCACAGTGGGAAGAAGGTCCTGTGGAGAGAAGCTGGTCCTTTGGATCCTGAGTTCTCCTTTGTGTCAGACCTTGGACTGGCCACTGGTAGGGATAAATGGTAGGGAGTGGGAGTGCTCAATAGGGCTCTTAAGATTTGAAATTATGGAAATATTTTCTTGAGCCCCTTCCTCTCTATCCCGCTTAGGGGTCTAGGGCTCTTAAACTTAAGCTTTCCTCTCCTCCCCAAAGGGTTTCAAAAAACACATTTATCTTTTTTTAAAAAAAAATTATTATTATTTGTAGTAGTATTTTATTGTGTTTTCAGGGAAGGTTTACACAGCAGTTTCGGTTCCCATTCGGTAGTTTTTACACAAGTTGTTCAGCGACATTGGTTACATTCTTCACAATGCGTGAACATTCTCATTATTTCTGTTCTGGTTGCTCCATTTTCTTTAATCTAGTTTCCCTGCCCCTTAATATTCTTTTTTTTTTTAATTGTACTTTAGATGAAGGTTTACAGAACAAATAGTTTCTCATTAAACAGTTAGTACACAATTGTTTTATGACAATGGTTAACAACCCCATGACATGTCAACACTGGCTCTTCTCAAACTTGGGTTCCCTATTACCAGCTTTCCTGTCCCCTCCTGCCTTCTAGTCCTTCTCCCTGGACTGCTGTGCCCCATTAGTCTCATTATGTTTTATGGGGCTGTCTAATCTTTGGCTGAATGGTGAACCTCGGGAGTGACTTCATTACTAAGAAAACATATTTATCTTAAGTTTTTAATGACCTAATATATTACCTTATATAAGAATAGATGCATTATAAGGAGAATCTGGGATGAGGGCAATGCTTAACACAAAGGAGTGACACTTTAGTGAAAGAATGTCAGACAGTATCAGTGACACCTAGGTTGGGAAGAGATTTTTGAATGGGGCCTCAGGGAGGTCCTCGTAGGCTTTCAAGTGACAGCACAGAGATGAACTTCCCATCTTTCAGAATTTTCCAGTTATTCAAGTAAGACCTGGATATAGTTCCTACCTTCTGTGAGTGAGGTCTGGTCTAATTAAAGGAGATCATATTCTACAATAGGCAGATACAAAAACACAGGAAACACAGATTACCAAGTAAACATTACCACTGTAATATGTGAATTATCATTATAAAGCAATGGACATTAAAAAAGTAAACTAACAGTACAGAGATTATGCATCCTAACCAGGGTTTCCTTCCAGAGTAGTCAAAGGAGGCAGCCCTGTGGGTATCCAATGAGGATGCCAAGTCTTGGAAACTCTCTTTAGGAGTTGATTTTAGCATCTAGTGTACATATTTTGAAGCTTTGTAGTTGGATCTACTTTTTTAAAAATTATATTTTAGGATGAAGAAGAAGTGCAGTTATAAAGGAATGAGGCTTGTTTTCTTGTCTGTATTATAACTAAACAATTCCAAAAGAGATGTTCCAAGAAAGTGAAAAACACAGATTGGTGGAAAGGAGTGGGAGGACCTGACAGGCAGGAGAAGAGTTCGAGCAATTAAGGTAGGGGGCAGGGATGTAAAGGGTGACAGACATTCTAGGCAACTGTCTCTTGACCCTCATTGCCCTGCCCAGGTGAATGTCCATTCTGAGGAACGGAAATTGATGACCTTCACTGCCAACAAGGATGACAGAGTAAAGAAGATCAGTGAACACATCCGGTCCAAGACCAAGGTTCCTGTGCGGGACCAGATCCTTCTGCTGGGCTCTAAAACACTACAGCCCCAGAGAAAGCTTTCATCTTATGGCATTGACAAGGAGAAGACCATCCACCTCACCCTGAAGGTGGTGAAGCCCAGTGATGAGGAGCTGCCCATGGTTCTGGTGGAGTTACGTGATGAAGGGCAGAGGCATCTCCTCCAGGTGCGCCGGTCCAGCTCAGTGGCCCAGGTGAAAAAGATGATCGAGGTGAAGACTGCTATAACCCCTGAGACCCAGATTGTGACTTGCAATGGAAAGAAACTGGAAGATGGGAAGATTATGGCAGATTATGGCATCAAAAAGGGCAATTTTCTCTTCCTGACATACCACTGCATTGGGGGGTGACCACCCTAGGGATGGGGTGACATCAGGAGGAAAAGAGCTTATTTCCTTTTCGCTTTTACTCACTAAACACATCTTTTGATGGTTTTCCAAAATTATTGAGAAGGAAATAAACAGAAAAAGTAAGATTTGGGATGAGGTGGGGAGGGAATACTTTTCCAACTCTGATTCTTTGGTTCAGACACAATTGATTAAGCGACTAGATTATGTATGGTATTACTGAGAAAGAAAATGAATCACTAAGGCATACTAGAAACAGCATTCAAAACCAGCTTACAATTTAATTCTTTCTTGGTTTCCTATGATTTATAGAAAAAGTCCTATTTCCTTTCCTATTTGACAAGGTAGTAAGTTTTAGGTTGGGATCCAGGTTTTACTAATTTCTGTGTTTCCATGAATGTTTAGCCCAATGCTTCATGTATAATATCACCCAGTAACTGTTGAATCAAACTGAATTTCTACCCATAGAGAAAAGTGAAATAGATGATTTATTTTGAAGTGAATTAATTACTCTGACACAATCACAATCTAACTCATAGAGAATTTATAAATTTAATAAAATTACTTTTTGTCTCTTTATTTAAGGGTGTTTGGTATGAAATGAAACCTGGCACGGTACTGCTACCTACCCTCTATGTCCTATACACAATTAAAATTGTTCTGTCTGGGAATGGTGGTGGGCAGGGAGGTATTTTCCATGGGGATCTAGAGATGCCATGTCTCTAGTGGGGGCTCCTTTGGGCAGATGCTCTTCAGGTGGGAAGGAACTTACTGAAAGGTAGGGGATTGGGGACCAGTCTCTGTCCTGCCTTAGTGTCTAGCAAGTCTTCTCTAGGTTGGGGGTATCAGTCTGGGGGAAGGAGATAAGGATTTGGGTTCTGGGCTGACCCTGGTACTCTGCCAAAGTTCTGGCTGATATTTTCCTCTCTGCTTCCATCACTACCAGGTCCTTGCTTCTCTCTTGGAAAATCAAGTCCCCTCTTTCCCACTCCTTCCTCCAATTATTCCTCTCTCTCATAGTCCTTCTCTCATGTCTTGCTGCTGGTCACTCGCAAGCTGACTTTTCTTACAACCTGAAACCTGTTCTCTTTCTTTCCCACCAGTTCTAGTCTCTTCTTTAAAACCGGCTGAGAACCATCTCCTACGGGAGGATTCCCCACCTTCACTCCACCCAGCACAATCACTACACTTAATGGCTATTCCTCATCACACTTATGGGTCAGGTGCCCTGTGGTGGGCATTGGTCACTTGGCTAGGTTGGCATTACGTCTCAGATTGCACTGATTGCAGAAGAGAGATCATAGTTCTTCTTCCGGGATGGGGTCTCCTCAAAGGTTTCCTCTGCTTTAAAGAAAAACTCTTTGTCAACTTAAGAGACCATGCCTCTGCCATCAGACTGGGAGAAAGCTAAAGGTAGTGTCATGTTGCATATCATCTTATCTGCATAAGGAGTCTTGAGGGGTGGTTACTGTATCCCCCAAGGATGGGGAAGGTCTCTCCGGTAGTATGCCTCCTCCCTTTATCAGCTTAGGAGAAACTCGGAGGGCCATTTCCCTCCTCCCTAAACCTTTATGTTTATATACCCTGGGTATTGCAAGCATGGATCAGCTGCCAACTAAAGGCTGGTGTTCAAACTCACCCAGCAACACCATGAGAGTCCAGGCCATCTGCTTCCTTAAAGATTACAGGCAAGAAAATCCTGTAGAGCATCTCTGCTCTGTAATACATGCGGTCACCATGAGTCGGAATCCACTCTCTGGCAATGGGTTTGGTTTTAAACCTATAGGTACAGAGGATATACACACTTTATCTCACCAACCTAAACATTTCTGATGGGAGGAAGGGATCTCCTGCATTGACCTTGGACTCCCTCAGGACAAATGTTGCAGATTCTCACACAGAAATGAACAGCCCAAAGGCTAAACAGACTGACTCTCCCATGGGCATTTCCATTCTTGGGCCCTGGGCTGACACTGTCTTCCCTTCCCATTCACTCACTGTCTGGCCTGCCCTCTGCCCACGTTCCTCAGGAGCCTCCTAGCCGCCTCCTTCACCTCCTTATTCCTCAGGGTGTAGATGAGCGGGTTGAGGGCCGGTGTGACCACGGTGTAGAAGAGAGAGACAAACTTGCCCTGCCCCTGATCGTATCTCTGCGTGGGTTGCAGGTAGGTGTAGATGGCCGAGCCGTAGAACAGGCAAACGGCCGTCAGGTGGGACCCACAGGTACCTAGCGCTTTCCTCCGGCCTCCGCTGGACCGCATGCCCCAGACAGCGCGCGCCACTGTGCCATACGAGGCCAGTATGATGGCGGATGGTACCAGCAGGATGACCACGCGGGCGGCGAACATCTGGCGCTCAGTGCTGTCCCGGCCAATGCCGCAAGCCAGCTTGAGCAGCGCCGGCAGCTCGCAGATGAAGTGGTCCAGCCGGCGAGGGGCGCACAGCGGCCGGGCAGCCAAGAGCGCCGTTTGCGCCGACGAGTTGGTGAGGCCGCCCAGCCAGGAGGCGCCCGCCAGCGAGCTGCACAGGCGCTGCGAGGCGAGCCCGGAGTAGCGCAGCGGGCGGCACACGGCGGCCGCGCGGTCCAGAGCCATCACTGCCAGCAGGACGCACTCGGCAGAGCCCAGAGCTAGCGACGCGCACAGCTGGGCCAGGCAGCAGCTGCGGGGCAGGCAGCGCGACCTGCCGCGCAGGTTAGCCAGCAGCGGCGGAACCACGCTCGTGGCGAAGCCCGCGTCCACCAGGGCCAGGTGACAGAGGAAGTAGTACATAGGCGTGTGCAGGCGCCGGTCGCGCACTGCCAGCAGCACCAGCGCCAAGTTGCCCGCCAGGGTCAGGAGGTAGCAGAGGAGGACAAGGGCGAAGAGGACAGGCTGCAGGGACGGCCAGTCAGAGAAACCCAGCAGGAAGAAGCGCTCCTCTGTGCTGAGGTTGGCCTAAAGGAGGAAAACTCCCAGAATGTTTGGAAGAACGAAATATAAAAGGGTGATAACTACACCTCATAAGTAAATGAAAACCCGGGAATGTGGGAGTGGGGTGAAAGATGGGATGGTAGCAGATACAATGTTTATGTTTCGAGTATAATCTCTTTCACAGAACTGAACCCTTAGTTTAGGAAGATAGCTATGTATTACTATACCTTGTCTTATATATTTACAAGATCCTTTGAGGAAGATAAGGAGCCCTAGTGGCGCAGTGGTTAAAACCTCGGAAGCTAACCGAAAGGGTCCACTAGCTGCTCCTCGGGAGAAAGACCTGGCAGTCTGCTTCCTTAAAGATTTACAGCCTTGGAAACTCTATAGGGATGTTCGGCCCTGTCCTATAGGGTCGCTGTGAATCAGATCGACTCCAGGGCAAAGGGTTGGGTTTTTTCTTTTTTCTTTTTTTTTTTTAAGTGGGGAAGATAGGCTAAGGAAGTTGTCCTAAGGTCATTGGCTGTGTGGGACTTGTACTGGGGCCTGTCTGATTTCCAAATCATTGCTCTTTCAGCTGCCTCCCTGGTTCTGGTTGTACTCCTAGGAGCCACAAGAGAAATGTAATCTCCCTCCCACATGACAGCCCTTCAGATTTTTTAAGATAAATTTCACTCTGAGCCTCCCTCGCCGTTCTTCCCAAGTGTGTGGTGCCTAACATTAAGTGCAATACCCCAGGCTTGGTCTAAACAACACTTGGTAGATCAGAACTATCACCTTCCTTGTTTCAGATGTTCTGCTTTTATTAATGCAGCCCACTTACACTGCTGACTTTTGATGTCTAAACTACGGTGAATAGAGACTACTTCCAATGTCCATGCCTCTCCTGCTGTAAGACCTAGTGTGATGATCAAGATCAGCACAGATCTGCGCATGCCCACTAGCCTTTAAATCAAGAATCAAAAAGGCAGAGGAAAAGACACTAAACCAGAATTCAGGAGCCCTGAGTTCTACCTTGCATAGCTGCCATTAGCTAGTTATTTGATAGAGGTAAATCCCTTCATTTCTCTCTGCCTTAATTTTTTCATGTGTAAAACAATTGACACCTGTTTGCTGATAGGTATCAATATAAGGCTAACATTTTAGACATCATATTCATTATTCTTAATTTAAAAATCATAATCCTCTAATTTCTTTATTTTTCCGGGGAAAAAACCCTCCACAAAACATCCTGTTTATATGATCCTCTCACTTTATTGTTTGCTGTCAAGTCAATTCCTACTCATAGAAGTTGGCTGGTAATCTGCCGCCCTTTCAGTTCGCAGCTGAGTGCTTTAACCATTGTGTTGCCAGGGCTCCTTTTTGCCTCACTAGGCAGAGCAAACATTAATGCTGTGATTAAGAACAAGGTTCTGGAGCCAAACTGCCTGGGTGTGAGTCTTGGCTCTGACATTTCCAAGCTGAGCAACCTTGGTCATGCTACTTAACCTGTTTGTTAGTTTGTTCATTAGTAAAACGAAGTAGGGTGAGTGGGTTAAGCATGCAAAGCTCTTAGCACAGTGCCAGGCACATAGTAAGTATTCTATAAATGTTAACCATTTCCATCCTCATTTCACAGATGAGGAAATAGGTTTTTAGAGGGATCCTACACTGGTAGTGACTAAGCTAGGATAGAAATCCATATCCCTTTTCAAATATTGACTTTGATATTTACTCACCCGCAAATTATATCATAGTCCTTTTATATATTCGGTTAGGAGGCTAAATTATGATGTTAAACAACTTACCCAAGGTCACACAGTTTGTAAATACTGATCAGGATTCAAACCTAAATCCAAGTGACTCTGAGATCCTTGTTATTTTCACAGACTTTATTATGCTAGGGACTGTGGAGAATAAAAGGGCATGCAAAGCCTGATCTTTGTTTCTAGATAATCTGACAGCTTTGGGGCCATACTGAAGATCAATAAAGGGCAAGAGGTGACATTCATGCTTATGGTCCAATGGAAGCTAGAGATATTGAGTTATGAGAAGTCAAATTCTCTAATGCTATGATCACATAGAGACACACCAGCTCAGACATGCAAGCCCTAACCCACTCCCCTCCAAACATGTCACACTCTTCTCACATGAAAACAGCTACCCACTGATAATATTGCACAGACAGCATCATGTACAAATTCCCAAATGCATAGCTCTAACATCTGTCTATGCATACACACATACTGCATCATTCCCCCTAAGCGTCCAGAAGGTAAATTTGTTGTAAAAAATATTCTATAATGTGTCCCCAAACTTCCACTGGTATTCTAGAATGTGGCCCCTATCCAGAGACAATTTTTTCCTAGGAAAATGTAGCAACAAATTTACCTTCATGTCTTATTCTCTGCCACTGATATTTAGATCTTGAGTTTCCAAATGATAAATGGCTCTCTTGCTCTGGATCAGGCTTCTGTGGGTTTGAAATGGCAGTGGGAGGGATTAAAGAAGGACCCAACTGCATGACTGTGTTGATTTCTGGAATAGGTGCCTGAAATCAGAGCCAGGCACCTCAGGAAGAAGATGTGGGGCGGGTACCATCTTGCTTGACAGCAGAGGAATGGATAGAATGTCTTTGACAAGAAGCCACTTAAGTTCTCTGAAGTATCAAGATCTGGATGATGCCTGTTCCTGGAGAGCCCTGTAATGGGGTTGCCAAGGCAAGGACTAGAGCATACACAGAATCAGCATGAGCCAATGGTGATAGCAAAGAGGTCTGTCTTGATTCTAGAAGGCATAGCAGTCAGAGACAAGGAGGCAGAATGTTGATGAGTAGTGAAAGGAAACAGTGGAATCAACTTCCTCTGTTATTTAGAAGAGAGGACAGAGCTCTAGGGAATTTATGTCCCATTCCCATAATTAGAACTTTTTGTGGAGGTGTCCAGAGAGGAGTCCCCCAGGGTGAGGAGGGAAAATTGTGGAGGGAAAGTCCCTTTAGAATAATGTGTCCCTGTCAGTGTGTGGAGACCAGAGGCAATATAATTCTCTTTCACAGTAATTTCTACTAAGTTTTAATTGGTTCAGAATCCCATTCTCTGGTTGAGTGAGCTGTAAATTTATATTTTTGCACTTTGCTTTAGTCATCTAACATTACAATGTAAGAATTGTCATGTTATTACAGATTTCTTATAAATATAATAATCTATAACTTATATTTATTGATAACCACCACTGAGTTTGAAACGTGGTCAAGTCTTCTTCCTGAGACTACTTGCAAGAGGTAAAGGCCTGAAGTCTAAAGATCGAGAAGCTAACCATTGAACGAACATTGCAACTGTTAATTCTGATTCTCCAGTCCTAAATGAACACCTTGAGGTCTTACCTGTGTACCTTGTCATGGCTACCTTGCAATAAACTAAATGGGTTTATGCATGATAAACTTGAGCATTTCTTTATTCACGTTTAAAAGTTAAAAGCCATAGGGCAAATATGTCATTAGAATTACTAGAAGTTATTATCTATCTGTCCATCTGTCTGTCTGTCTATCTATCTGCCTGTCTATCTATCTATCTGTGTATCTATCCCTCTAGTGGCAAAGTGGAAAGAGTGTACACTTTGCAGATAGGAAGGCCTGGCTTTAAATGTTGGCCATGATGCCTGGCCTTGAACGATTCATTTAACATCTGTGAGCATTAATTTCCTCATCTGTAATCTGAGTATAATACCTACCTTAATGCCAGGTTGCTGTGAGGATTAGAGATGATGTGTGCAAAATTACTGACATATAGTAGGAACTCAGTATATGATAGTTTTTCAATAAGATTGTACTTACACTTCTATCACCTGTGTAAAAGTGTAAACGTATCTGATACTTTAGCTATCACTAAGTATTCTCATTCAAATAAAATGTTTGCCTATTTGACAGATGAAATGTTTAATTCTATTTTATTTTTCTTATTATGTTAAAACTGCAGTGTGTATATAGCTCTCCCTTCCAAGTATATCTAAAACTCCATGAGTGTGGGCATAGGGCCAGGCCTACCAGGCTCTACCTGTTCTAGCTCCTGTGTACTTGGCCAAGTTCATCTTATGTTATTCTACCCCTTGATCACCATGAACCAGCCACATAGGCTCCTTCTGTTCCTTAAACATGCTAAGCTCTTTGTATTTGTTGTTTCTTCTGCCTGGAATACTTTCTCTTTACTTGTCAAAGGCTAGCTCCTTCTCAACTTTTACATCACATTTCAAATAGGAAGGGATGCTCCAAACCTGGGGTTTACAGGAGCAATGAGAAGCCAACCAGAAAAGGCATGGTTAGGAAGATCTGCAGATGAACAATATCTGTGGGTGGTGGGAGGTGTCTGAAGACTCCATGTATGCTTCCTAAGGAAACGTGTTAGCTTAGAACATTTGCCAAGCCCAGAAGAAGTTAGCATTGAGTATTCGCCATAGTGAGAGGAAATCAACCAAATTACAGGGCACCAATCAAATAAGAGGAAGTCCCTGGGTGGCACAAATGGTTAAGCGTGTGGGTTCTAACTGAAAGGTGGGCAGTTCAAACTCACCCAGGTGATGAAAGGCCTGGCAATCTGTTTCCAAAACATCACTGCCTTGAACTCTTTGGAGTACAGTTCTATTCTGCAACACATGGGTTGCCATGGGTCAAAATCTACTGACAACAACCAGTGTTGTTATTGTTATCTGCCTTCGAATAGGTTCCGACTCATAGCGACCCTTTGTACAACAGAACTACACACTGCCTGGTCCTGTGCCATCCTCACAATTGTTGTTATGCTTGAGCCCATTGTTGCAGCCACTGTGTCAATCCATCTCGTTGAGGGTCTTCCTCTTTTTCACTGACCTTCTACTTTACTAAGCATAATGTCCTTCTCCATGGACTGGTCCCTCCTGATAACATGTCCAAAGTATTTGAGACAAAGTCTTGCCATCCTTGCTTCTAAGGAGCATTCTGGCTGTACTTCTTCCAAGACAGTCCACGGTATATTCCATATTCTTCACCCAACTGGTACTGGAAGTCAAATAAGACCTTCTCTACCCATTAACTTATCTCCTTCCCCCCCCCCCCAACCAAGTCTGGAGGAACCACAGGCAATCTGGTGAATGGGGGAGGAAGGCAGAAGCACTAATCAGGAAATGGAGGAGCCGATTCTTCTCTTCCTTTCCATTATAGGTAGGCCCTAATTAGAAGAGAGAAGTTCAGTCTTAATTATCATAGGAGTTTGGCCATTTTATTTACTTAAATAAGTCCATTCTTGGGACCAAAAGTGACCAGAGGACTTATTATTATTTACGAGTAGTCTGGCCAATATTTCACCCAATGAATGGGGAAGAAGTGCCCCACAGAGCTGGTTTTCCCAGGCAGTGAAGAAATGAAATATGGTTGTTTTTTTGTTGGAAACCAACTCTTTGGAATCCTGCACTTTCAATGTACTGGTTATACTTATTTGTTTATTGTTTCTCCCCAACTAGAATGTGAACTCTGAGAGGTCAGGTACTTGGTCTCTCTTGTTTATAGCTGTATCCTTGGTGTCTGTAAATTAGGATTGCTAATATTCTGCCTTTTTGATTGCATTTGGAAGTACTTTGTAAAACAGAGTGAGACATTATTATTGCTGACGTATTTTTTGTTTTCATAAATTTAAATAAGCTTTACTGGGGGTATAATTTACATACAGTAAACTATATCTATTTAAAAGGCACAATTTAGTGAGTTTTGACAGATGTACATTCTGTGAAACCACCGTTACAGTCAAGATACAGAACATTTCTATTACTCCAAAAATTTCTTTGTACCTCTTTGCAAGGGGTCTCCACCTTTGACCCCAGGTAGGCACTGATCTGCTTTCTGTCACTATAGTTTGCATTTTTGAGAATTTAATACAATAGACTCACACATTATGTACATTTTTTGACTACTTTATTTCACTCAGCATGTTTTTGACACTCATCCACGTTGCTGCATGTATGAACATGCAACACGTATTGTTAGTTCATTCCCTTTTCTTGCTGGGTAATATTCTATTGTATGGATAAACTACATTTATAAAATCCTCCTGTTGAAGAACAGTTGGATTGTTTCCAGTTCTTGGCCATTATGAATAACTGCTATGATACTTTGATTGATTTCAGAAGTAAGGCTTAGCTAACAATGAAGATGGTGGTAGAGTAGTTGTGCTGCTCAAAAACCTCCCCTTCCATAAGAAGGTATATGCAGTTGCAGGATGAAGAACTGGTAACCTCATAATTTGGAGGATGAAGCTATCGCTCTGAATCGTCACTGCAGATGTCAGTAGACGGAGGGAGATATCTTCAAGAGTAGACACTTTATTATTATTATTTTAATTTGAGTCCAGAGCATCCATGGAAGAAAAACTCCCATTATAACCGCCTCCATCACGACTACCGGAAATCCCTCCCTAATTCATTCCTTCTCCCCTCCAGTCGCGTGGACCCTTCTTTCCCTTTTACAATCTAAGGACACTGTCATTCAAGTTTAGCCCCCTAAATGGCCACTCCATTCTCTCACTAGCTCGAGCCCTTGGAAACCACTCTCATTCTCCATTCCCGGCGTCTTCCTTCTCTTCCCTCAAGTATCCTGCCCACCTCCTTTCCTTCTCTCCACTCCTATTCATCCCCAGCCTTCTCGCTTCGCTCTCTCATTTCCCTTTTCTCTTTGTTCTCTAGTTCTCGCCGGTCTTTTAAGCGTTCCCTCCTTGAATCGAAGGTTCAACCAGGGTCCCAGAGTTCCCCTTTTTATTCCCACCCTCTCAGTGCTAAGATAATAAAACGCGAACCAAAGATCAGTCAGCTGCTCCAGCGAAGCCACGCGAGACGTCGGAAAGAACGATTTCAGAACACCAAGACCGGACCTCCTGCGCATCCTAGAGGGGCTCAGCGCGGCGGGACGAAGACTTGACGAAGGGAGGGGCGGGACCTAGGGCGTCTCCATGACAGCGGCGACGCCTCCACGCCAGGCGGGCGTGAGGGGCCCTGCCCCTTTGCTCGCCAGCTTCTCGTTTCCTACTGGACTGGCAGGTTGAAGTGTAGGCTGGCAGCATAAAGGATGGGCGTGGTTTCTTGATTTTAATAGCGACGGTTGTTTCATTTCATTACTCTTCAAGGTGCTGTCAGATCCTGTATCTGTGGTACTCAAAAGAGCGTGCTGCAGCGGGCCCATTTTTCGGGTGAGAAAGCTGAGACCCGCAGCGCACTTGCTTCAGGTCACACTGAAGTGTATGTGTGTGGTGTATCGGGTGAGCGATAAGGAAGATGGTCATACTTTTTGTGGGTGTGTGTGCATGTGTTGGAAAAGAACATTCAGTTGTGAGGAAATTAGGAGAACACAGAAAATGTTAACTGGGGAAGAAGGATAATTT